ACTAAATTTAAAGTCCACATTCGGATGTTCGTTTATAGTATAAGCCGCACGTCTACAGGGTGAACTATAAAATTCTAAATTTAAAGGATGATTTGTTTTGAGTTAGCCGGACAAGTGTTTTGTGGGTGGTTTAGTAACCGTTTGCTATTGCACCCAGCGATATAAATAACCTACTGCCCAACGCTGCTTGGTGTTACACTCCGTTTAAGACATGAATGCATTAGAAGATAAACAAAAAGGTTTATGCGCCCTTTAGGGCATTTTCCATGCATATATGTGTATGCACCCCGAAAGGCCATAACTATGTGAGCTATGCTTTTCTGTACTAGAAGCATCTATGGTTAAAATGTCTCAGACGGACAAACGGACGGAGAATGTGGTCATAATAGCGTCTTCCAACACGATTTGGAAAATGCGCTAAAAAGTTGTAATGAATCTAAGGGTCTCCGAAACCGTCACTGAAAATGTTGACTTACCCGATTCTTACAGTTGGCAACAGACAGAATTTGTACGCGTCCGAAGGGAATAAGAAAAATGAACTTTACGCACGAGGTTTGATTCCGCGGAAAAAATCCAAACCGAAAAGCCAGAAAAAACCAGCCATACAAAACCGGGCATAACGTACACAAATACACGAAATAAATCAACTACAGCAACAAAATACAAAAGAAAATACACAAATTGTAGAATAAAAATGATGTAATCGAATGAAATGCAGTTAAAGAAATTCATAAAAACACGACAAATGATACATTATAATTGCAAGTGGGGAACATGATAATTCAATTTAGTACAAAAACACATTAAAACAGATATACGATCAATTGTAGTAAAGTGATAAATTGCATGTAAAAAGGAAACATCAAAATGGACGTGGCTTCACTTCAGTCCCAGTTAACATAAACTAACTTGACACAAAAAGTACATGTGAGAATTAGCAAGTATTTAATAATAATAATAATATTTATTTCCAACAGACGATGAATTGATTATTGTATTGTATGTAGTATCGAAAAAGGGTACGATCAAGAGACCATCGGTCTAGTTTTTAAGTTAGTTAGTAGGACGTTAAATTGAATGAAAGAGAGAGAGAGAGAGAGTGGGAAAGTGCATGTAAGGGTCTTCTGACCGGGATGGCGCAGAGTCGTGAATGGGCAGCAAAAGTGGAATGACGCACTTTTGTCATTTTTATCTTTACGTGTAATTTCAATAAACGACATTTAAACTGTTTGCTGTTTACTTTTTCACGTTTCTAAGACAACGAGTATTACATGTATTATTGTGTAAGTTGATTATCGCTCAAGAAAAACATATTTTAAATAGAGGAAATGTTAATTATGGGGCACCTAAAGTCTCACATTGCTAAGATACAAGTTCTGCAGCCTGTACAAGACGAAAAAAGAAACATATACAGCGACAAATCGGACTATATGCGGAGCAAAGTTTCTTGAAGCTGTCAGCCAGTGTTTTTGTCTTTGATACGTTCCGCGCCTGAATATCGCAAACCTTTAAGTACCACATTATTTGGATTATTAGAAAAAAAACCGTAGGTAAATTAAGATTTCTTTAATTTTATTTATCCACTGACTGCGTGGGGGGTATTATGTCCAACCAAGCTTTGTGAGTATTTCTTTCTTTGAGGGATTTTGTTTTACCTTTGTTTCGTGTGTATCGGAACAAATTCTTGCCATTGTCATTCAATTAATTGTGTTTATTTGAATCCTTTGTACGACTCTGATAGAGTTTTCATGTCAGATTTTTCTATTCGTGTCCAAGATTTATTTGAAGTAGAATCAAAATTTATGTAATAAATTTTTTGAAATTGTCGAAAGTTGATCGAGGCCACCGAGTGTCAATCGTAAGCTTCCATTTTGATTTGTTTTAAATAGCTGGATAGGTGTTTTGCCATGGCACACAATATACTATTTTATTTAAGAGGGAAGAACTATTTTAATATAAGGACTGTTCATTATGTGCTAATACCTTCGTAGTTTGAAATTCAGGAAAAGCAAATTAATTTGACCTACAGCGTGTACACGTTCGACTGAGCATTTAAGTAAATTAAAAGCACTTTGTAAAATAAGTGGAAAATAACAGCATCTGCTCGTGGCAGATAATTTCGTGTCCCCTTAAGCACCTATACAACAGAATGGAATATAGAGAGAGAAATTTGGTTATAACGCATTGTTTTTAATCAGAAAGAAAGTCAGCCGTTCAATTTTCCTTATCTACCTACATTACGGGCACGCTAAGAAATCTTATTTTAGGAGATGTTAAAAATGTGTTATTTGTTACGTAGTTACAAACGTCTGAGTGTCCTTATCAGTAAATAGAGTTTTTTAAATTGCCGTAAGAGTAAGGAAGACGTTTTTAAATAGTTATTGTCCGTCATTACTGAGCAGTAAATTGAATACGACTTCGGAAAGTAAGAGCGTGTTCCATGATGGAAATCGAGATAGACGATGATCAAGTGATCCAAACGATAAACTCGCCGTCAATAAACTTCAACTTTCTTGCCAATAGAAATATATTTTTATCCTAACAGAAGGTGAGCTCTTTCTCTGAAGTAGGTCATAATATGAAATGATTTGCCTCGTACTTGTGAGATCAAGTCTTTGAATCTGAATTATTAATTTTCACTACACCCTTTCGACTCTATTTATACCCTAGGGAAGAGGGTCCACTTTTGTACGAATTATGCCTAGTCGAGTACACTTCAGTTTTGTTTACCGAATCTTCAAACGACACCTGTCAAAAAATAATACCTTTCAGCACGGAACAATTTTAGTGGTAAGCAATTAAACATCTTTTGGGTACTTTATGCTAGCGATTTTAATCGATTAGATTTTCGAATGGAATTGAGAAATAGTTTTTTATTATACCTGAATCACAATCTCCGTTTTAAACACTCAAATGCGTGCGAAAAAAGGCCTTTAAAACACACGTGCTTTAAAGTTGCTAAGTAACGATACTTCAAGTATGACTTTTGAAACTGTCATCTGGATGAAATAAAAAATCCTCTTAGGTCGCTTTCTGTAAATGTTGAACATTTCTTTGACTTTTGTACCCATCCTTTGGTTGAAGCTTTCACAAACGCGCGTAATTTAGAGTATGCTTCCAAATCTGTTCCACTTTTTAATCGCAACATTGCTTGGAAGTTTTGAATGAATGCACCAAAATATAGAAGATTTAAACGGTATGGGACGTTTCGCCGTCGCCGTTTTGCCGTCGCCACTTCGCCGCCGCCATTTGACCGTCGCCACTTCGCCGTGGCTATTTCGCCTTCGCCATTTCGCCGTATGCCATCCCGCCGTCGCCGTTTCGCCATTGACCATTTCGCCGTCAGTCCAAGATATATTGTTATAAAAAAAAGAACATACAACTTCGATGAATCTGATACAATTCCTATGTTGATACTATGTGTGTTAGCTCTTGTGAAGGTAATCACATTATTAATTACATTCTAGGGTTTAATGAGCACGAGCAAGAGTGCGAAGCATAATATTTCAACACATAAAAATTTTTTAGAAATAGAAATGCCGCGATGTCAGTTGTCACCTCAGATCTCATCTACGTTTTGACAAAATAACGTATAAAAATACTCAAGTCAACCTATCCATACATTTTACTCGGTACAGATTAAAGTTCCGTTTTTCTCACTCAAAGTAGAAAGTAAAGCATGCTATTTATTCAATGAAGAAAATAACTGCAGTCATTTAAGCAGTTAATTAGTCATTAATGATGTACTTCTCTAATTACACTCCCGAATCTTTTGTATTATTGACCCAAGTTAGCAATCCTTTTTTGCATTAATCTTGTAGGATCGTTAAAATCGGATTTAGATAATTAGGGGGGGTAGAGTAGACTATGTAATTATTTTGGAATATTTTAGTTCATTTGTGCCTTTTGTACAATACACAATTATGAATTCAGAAATAGTTAGTATCAGAGGCAAAGAAAAATTTGTTTGTGATGGTTTTATATATATATTCGATTCTATTTCAAAAAGTGACGAAAATGTTAAATTTTGGAGGTGTGAGGAGCGTGGTCGTTGTAAGGCCAGAATTCATACACGTGATGAGACGGTGGTGAAGACGTTAAATATCCATTCACACGACTCTTCGGCCACAAAAGTTGAAGTAGGAAAAACGATTACTAGAATAAAAAACGTGCTGTTGAGACAATGGAACAAACAAGTCAGGTATCTTTTCGTGATTTTTTTTACTTGTATGCATGGTGATTTTCAACATAAGGAATTCTTATGCCAAATTTACAATGAAAGATTTACAATAAGGTTTTTCTAAATTAGAATTTAACTCGCTTGCCTATCAATCTATTTTCTTTTTTTGGAATATCAAAAAATAAGTTTTTTAAATATACCTGTATTGCCTTTAGATATTGAAAAACTGTAATTGATAATGCCTTCCCTTATTCTCAAATTCATTAAAACGTCAGAATAACAATAATTGATTTATCAGTATGCTGTAATACCTTCTTTATTCAATAAAATCAAAATTATTGCAGGTACTTAATGCGTGTACATCTAATATTTCCCAAGCATCGCAAGCATCGCTGCCAAATAATTATGCTCTCAAGAAAATGGTGCGAAGGCAGCGAAACGAATTAAAAAGAGCACCTCCCAATCCGCAGAGTGTCGAAGAATTAATTATACCAGACGAGTACACAATATACCACGCAGAGCCCGGCAGAAATGAAAACTTTTTACTGTTCCAAGAAACCAAAGATTTATTAATCTTTGGCCGTGAAAGTTGGCTGGCTCATTTATCTTCTAAAACATGGTTTGTTGACGGAACGTTTAAAATTGCACCCCCACTTTACGCGCAGGTGTACGTGTTGATGGTAAAAAAACATAATGGTGTGCACCCTGTACTATACGCACTCCTCCCCAATAAGTTAAGGGCTACTTATGTTCGCTTTTTTAACATAATTAAAAATATGCAACAGAATGCGAATCCAGACAGTATATTTTGCGATTACGAATCAGCTGCATTGTTAGCAATGAGGGAATGTTTTCCAAATGTATCTGTAAAGGGTTGCTTTTTCCACCTTGCGAAGAACATGAGAAAAAAATTGGCAGACTTGAATTTAATTCAAACTTACAACACCGACGCAGAATTTGCATTAAAGGCGAAAATGGTGATCGCTATTTCTTTTGTACCGCTTGACCACCTGGACGAAGCGTTAGATAGCCTTGCTGATGTCTTGCCTCCAGAATTGCACCCTCTACTTAATTGGTTTGAGGATAACTATGTTGGAAGGCTTAACAGAAGGGGAAATGGTCGCCGGGCTCCCATATTTGAATCTTCAATATGGAACTTGTACGAACGCACACTACATGAAGAAGATCGTACAAACAATCACTCAGAAGCTGCACATCGGAGATTGCAGACTGAATTAGGTAAGCAGCATGATATGTTCTTGGTTAATTTTATTAAAAATCTGTTACGTATAGGTGTTCTACATCCTACCTTGTGGAAATTTATAGACGCTTTGCGCGCGGTGCAGCATGGCCGAGATATTTATTATGAATCACTGGTAGCGGGAAACAATCCACCTAAAAAACTTAGAAGGTATAGAGACGCCGATCGTAGAATTTTACAAATTGTACGAAACTTTGCTCAGTACGAAGCTATTGAAGAATATTTACGGGGCATCGCCCATAATTACCAAATGGGGCAATAATAATGTAATATTATATTAATAATGTAACTGTAATTGCACTTGCATACTTTATGAATGGCATACTGTTTATTAGAATAAAGTTATTTTCACATTTATACAGTACGACTTTGATTCAAATTACTTCATGGCACGATTTGTATGTCTAAGACGCACTGTAAGTATAAATAATTATCATAATTAAATGTAAACATAATTCATTCATATACTGAAAGAGTGATCATAACTTAATGATAATGCATTTATATAATAACGCGTTAATATTGGAGAATCGGCAAATGTTAACGGCGAAATGGCCTATGGCGAAATGGCCACGGCAGGATGGAGACGGCGAATTGGCGGCGGCGAAGCGGCGACGGCGAAATGGCGGCGGCGAAACGGCGGCGGCGAAGTGGCGACGGCGAAACGGCGACGGCGAGATGTCCTAGACCGGATTTAAATACCTTTGACATTTCCTTCATATATGCCAGCATTATGGATGCATTTAAGACTGTATTCGTAAGTAACTTCCTATTCATCCATGGAAACAAATTTTCATATTCTTTATAATAGGCTTTACTGGAGTTGGATTTTACACCTACCAACGTTTGTTTAGATTTTACAAGCGATTTAATGAACGGTGTATTATCTTTTTCAATGGGAATCGTTTAATTCACAAAGACGATGATTTTTATAAGCAAACGTCAAGTGACATTTCCATGGCAATCGTGAAATTACGAACACCCAGCCCACTTAATTAGACATGTATTCGAGTATAACGTCAATATGACTTCATTGTATTTCCTATTTTTAAATTATACTGCAGGTATAATAAAAAATACTATAAGATACACGTGTATAATTGGTCTTTAAAGCACTTGCAACGTTAAAGGCACTCCGCTTTGCGTCGTGCCCTTAAACTCGTTGCGCGTGCTTTAAAGACTTGATTATGCACTTGTATCTTAATATACTATTCGCTGTAGTTCATTCATCAGAAATGTAGGAAGGTACATGAAACAACATTTGTTTATGTATTAATGCTTGTCTTAATTACGCCATTGAAAGATAATACTTGTGTTGTAACATAATGTAAAAATCGAAAGCGATGTCCTTAAAGAAAACGCGTATGGTGTATCAACAGTAATAAATGTTAATATACGGCTACACTAATCCTCCCCAGCTTATATAAACATCGGTCTTGAAACAAACAGATTCAAATGAGTACTACGAAAAAATATTAACTCCGCAGTAACTATTAATACGTGGACATCTACAACGCAAAAATTGAAAGGAAAATAACCTCGTTCTTACAAAATAATTATAAACAAATGAATCGTCGCGTCGTATGTCGTATACTGAGATTTTCGAGGATACATGAGGCGTCGCGTTGTGAATACTTTCTGATCTCTTCGTCAATCGGAAATGCATTCTGTTGGTATATGTAGTGGAGGGCTGCTAATCCCCTTTTGAACAAAATGTAACTTTTCTACAAACAGCGGCAGATTCGACACCTGCGGTGTTCGATTATGAATTCTGTTTGTTTAGATCGGGTCTTGCCCCTATAAAGCTTTATTGTTTGTAAGATAAAAACAGGAACTGCCGAGTGAATCAAGTCCCATCGGATATAATAATCGCTTGCTACGAGTGCAGCTTTTGTCTTCGCCTTTACAAGTGCGTGGCTTATCTCCCATATCCATTCCCATACCATGCCCGCCGAGGACTCCGTTACCTTAAGCGCCTCTTTCAATTTCTACTTGCTACTACCATAGTGCGGTGGTCGGCGTACCCCACTATAGCAACTTTCCTTGACAGGACCAGTCCGAGTACCGCATTGTACATATTGTCCATAGTAGCGCCCTGAGGGAAACCTCGTCCACTCTTCCAGTGTATTTCTCCGGACGGTAGGATCACTTATTTGATTCTATTAGTAAGGTACCTTGTGACTTTATTTATCTAAAACTTATCTATTACATTTTCTTAACCTAATTAGATCCGTGCATTGGAAAAGGTAAACAAATGCTAAATGACAATTTCTACATAATTATTACTGCACGTGAAATGTTCTTTCTCAATAACAAATTACCAAAATTATCGTCATGCCCATCACAATCTGTGTATTAAGCGCGTATAGATACGTAGGTCCCGCTCTTTCTTAAAAATCTCACCGATCTAACTAAGCAGGGCTAGGGCCCGACTTTTCCCTTCCCCTTCTCGAGAATTAAAACAACGGATACCGTTTTCAATTTTTTTGGCGTTGGATTATTGGATAATATTCCATCTATTACTTATGCTTGAACACACCGGGACATTCTTTTGCTATCGCAGATGTTTCTCCATTGTTTTGATCTCATATATTCTTCTCCAACTATCGGCTTTTTTTCCCCAGATTGCCGGTCACAAACTAAACTTAATTGCGTACACAATACGCTCAGTACATGTCTCTCTGGTGAGAATTAGTTAATTGATTTTGGATTTATGCCGAACTCATCTTCGGCTCGCACGGCATTGGTAAACCTGAGGCTACTGAGATTAAAAATTTTAAAGTTTGTTAATATACATTAAATTTCCGGCACAACACGCTCAATATTGGTTTCCCTTGTGAATTTTAATGAATTTATCTTGGATTTATGCCGAACTTGTCTTCGTCTCGCTCCGCATTTGAAAGCACGAGGCTACCGACATTTTAATTTTAAAAGTCTCTTGATCTACAATTAAATTTGCTCTATTGGCTTCCTTTACTGGCCCTACTATTTTTTCAATGCCTATATCGTGGATTTACCCTTTCTGAAGCCATGCTGGTTATTACACAGATTATCCTCTACACATTCATTATCTCTTTTTTTAATTATTTTTTCTAGCACATTTCCATCTATCAGGAAGATCAGTTTAAACGCCACCTTGGCCGCTTTTAGCAGTGGGACCACCCTTGCACTCTTCCACGGCACTCTTCTAATGTCCCTCTGCAGGCATCTGTCGAAGTGCCTTTCAATATTCCGGACTAGGGAATGCCATCCCGCAGCAAAATCTCAATCCCGGTATTTGCGGGATCGTTAGGTGTCAATCCCGCGGGATCCCGGTATTTGCAGGATCCAGCAAAATTTTAAATAAATAATAAACAATTTTGTGCGGTTAACATAACAATAAATCGATAATTATCACAATATTCAACAAAAAAGTACCTTTAGCCTTAGAACTCAAAAAAAACCTCACCTGTAATAGATTTCTCTAATTTTATGGATTACTTCGACATTCAGATTTTAGTTACTCGTGCATTGGTTTATACAATTAATGTTTTTGATTATTGTATGTTTGTATATTATTATGTGCTAAGTGCTAAGTTTTATCATCAAGATAATTCCCAGAGATGAATCTAGTCGAGGCCTACGATACTTACAGGCCGGAGCGCTCAAAAAAGTCACGTGACGTTAGGAGTCATATGAAATACATTACGACTTATGGAAAATCCGTGCGCGGCTCCACTATTTATTTTTTTACTCCGGATCCGTTCAACATAGAGCCACGAAATTTCAATGAGAGCTTCTCAATAGTACACACAATCAAATTATGGTGTTCGTTAAATTTTAATAACACTAAAAATAATTAATTTTTAGGTTTAAATTATTGAAGATAAAACGATGTTAGTAAATCCGCGTTTTTCTATCTTTACATTATCATATTTCTTTTTCTAGGAACTATATCATTATAATCCTTTCGGTGTCTTAAACTAGAATAATCAGCGCCTCCAATTATGCGTATATAATGCCTTATTTGGTATTAGTATAGTTTTAACAGGCCCTACAAAATCGCGCATTTATTATCCGCGCAGAGAAAAATTCACCATGCGAGAAACTTTTTTGTTATTGCTATAATTGTAACACATATATCGAATGAATTGTGGCTAAAGGACACAAAATTGTTCTTCAGAAGGAAATTTTAAGAAATGGTCTCTTGTATCCTTTTTTTCAGCAGCTGAAGTAAATAGCGCAGCGCGATTTTAAGAATAAGTGAACGCGCAAAGGAATTATGTTTCAAATAATTGTTAGTAATCGATTTTCAAATTGTGTGTGTGAGATTTAATTTTACATTAAACTTATAAAATTAAAAATATTAAGCTTATTGCGCTTAAAGTCTCATTCAAGAGGAGTTTTTGCATCAAAGATTTTGTTTCGTAGTGTAATTTAGCAGAAGATGAGGCGATGTTAAATATAAGTATTGAAATATTCTAAGATTTAGAAAACGACAAAATAGTTACTTCTGAAAACGATGTCAAGGTACTCATATTTATTGGAGGATATATGATACAAAAACTGTTTGGAAGATATAGCACCTGTTCTAGGTGTAAAAGTTAATTTGCTACTGAAAGACCACTGGAAATTGATGATTCCAGTAAAACATCGGAATTAGAATACATAAGATGTTTAGATAGAGATGGTTTGAGATATCCCACTGATAGTTTCCTGAATTTTTTAATAATAGCCTATAATATTTTTAAACAACTTATTTCTGAAAGATACGAAAAAGATTTTTTGTCATGCGGTAACCAAAAATTATTATTAATAAAAATATGTTTGAAGAATTTAGAAGTGGATGATGAAATTTGAGACCAATGTCAGAATAGTTTTAAATACTACATTTCAAAAAGTTTGCAAACATTCGCCAACATCCTACTAAATAATTATTCAAAATGTAAGAATAACAATTTAAGGGACAAGACTAGGACAACAAAAAATTGAAAAACTGATGTCAGTCAAATAGGCAGTTTTATATTAAATTAAGGGTTGATTGTTGGATTTTAAAATATGACTGTCTATATTCTTAAAATATATTATTAATTTTATATTTGTAGTGTTTATTGAAATCTAATCTAGCGGCCTGGGCCAGTCCGGCACTGCATATTCCTTACAAGCTGTACTTTTTACTAAAACTGCTGTAATTGTTGGATATAAAAAGTTATTTTTTAAAACTTCCTTATTCAAAAGGTTATTTTTATTCATAGAATGAAGATGAAAGCCTACGATACTTACCAGGCCTCATAGGTGGACAAGACAAATTTCCCATTTCACTTTCACAATAGTAGGTACCTATAACTAAAATACTTTATGTACTGCAAAAT